GGGGGATGAACGGCGATCACCTCCAGGTACCACAGGTTCTTCAATCGATACTTGCTTTTTGATTCGGTCAATGGCGTCGCTATGAGCAGTTTATCGTTCTCCCAAATCTCTGGGGATGATCCGTCTGGGTATTTTTGCACATCTTGCTCAGGACACTTTGCGGTATACTTGTTCGCCAGTACCCTCCTCGCAAACCGGGCTGAAAGTATCGAGCAACCGCAGTTTGCTAGCAAAAAGTATTATCCTACCCAGCGTCCGTTCCAGATGGATCGGAGGCGGAAATAACAGAACAACTGTTCCTGCGTCGCCCCCGACCTTGCCGTCGCCGTTTGGCTCTGTGACCCCTGCTGCGGCATGCTTCGATTGCAGACGCTTAGACGGGAAATTTGGCCCAGCTGTGCGACGGTGGTGGATTGCAAGACAACACCTTCTACCATGGCCCGCTGAGCCCGGCGATACTGCCACCTGGATGTTTCTCGTGTCCATGGGGCAACGAGCGGACGCAACCATCTGATAAAAAGATCGTGGGCGAAGGAGAGAGTAATTGTATTGGCCGCAGCGAAGTCTGATCTTGGATCTATATCGAATGAGTTACACTCGTTGTGCTGTTTGCCATCAGGTCGGGAATCATTGTACCATTGTAGATGCGAAAGAGCTCCAACTTCGGGCTGGCGGATGGATTCTTGGGATTTGGGGGTTTTGTCAAGTACCCGAGGAGCTTCCATTTGCCTCAGCTCTTGCTTCATACAGTATCGAAAAATAGGACAGCTCGACTTTCACGAGGCGTAAATGTCCATTATGGCGCTGTTTAGGCGAGACTGAGTGCCTCAACCTGATTTGTTGGTTTTACTTCCATGAAGCAATCCAAACAGGATCATCGCGTTTCGCTTGGGGAGATCATTCGGCATTTCAAACGAATCAAGTAACTTAGAATCACAGGTGCAGACTATGCATGAGGCTGAATATCCCTTTACGGCAGGTCGACCCCCTTTTGCCGAGACGTTAACCGAACCTTGACATCTTCCCCCCGAGTGGATGATGGCTTCATTGGGACTCAATCCAGGTGTTTTAGCTCGTTTCTTATCTGAACCCATGCATTTCCCCGCATTTTGGCGATGTCTCCATTTGCCTCCCGAGATTTGGCTGAAGCGTCTTATTGGAATATGTGCACCAGTTGTTCGCTAGGCTTGCGAGCGCAGACATAGGCAGCATCTTTTGAAATCATTTATCAAGCATTGGCTGCCCGCTGGATACGAAGCAATGCTTCACCAACCGATTCAAACAGGCTCGGCTTGGACGAACAGACGGGAAAATCTACCAAGGTTTCCTTTATATTTGGTTCTATATCGATACCATCCAGCATTGATGGCAGACAGTCAACGCGATCGACCACCAAGCATTCGCCAGGAGGAGGGTGGCCTCCCTCCTGGGACATTTCTTTTGATCAGGGGTGGGTATTCATCTCAGTTTGCTGTATCGTCAATGTCTAATTGAGGTACAGAAGATGACGCAGAGAATCATGGACAACGTCGGATCCTACTCAATCCAGTGCCAACCAGGGATCCCAACGAGCCATTGGTGGGTCATTTGGTCCTTTCTACAACTGTGATTAACTGTAGCGTTAGAACTGGAGTACAGCGCGGAAGGCATGCAACTTTACTCTGGTGCTGGCGGTGACCGCGCTGATATTCACTGCGTGAGTCTCTCCTTGGTGATAAAACTAAATCCAAGCTGATGCGTTCACCGATGCATTCCAGACTCTCGATTCAGTCCATCTTTTGGCAGTTGATGGTCCCTGACCTGCAAGTAACTTATACCCAGCTCAACTGGGCACTGGCGGTTAATTTTGTCGGTCTTTCAATGGGATGTGTGATCTTCATTCCGCTGGCGAAGAAATTCGGACGGAGACCTGTATACCTGGTTTCGACGGCGTTGATGCTGGTGACGTCTTTCTGGATATCAAAATTGGAGAGCCTTGCGGAGCTGTATATCGCCAACTTGCTTCAGGGACTCGCCGGAGCGACAAACGAGTCGATTGTTCAGATCACGGTATGTTTCCTGCTTGCTGAGTTTTTCGGAGCTCATGCTTCTAGATCGCCGATCTCTTCTTCGTACATCATCGCGGAGGAATGAATGCTCTGTACATGACTATGGTGATGATTGGGGTAAGTAAAACCGCCCGCGTCCGCCGATCGCAGCCACGCTCATTTGTGCCATAACAGAGCTTCCTCTCTCCCATGGCGGCTGGGACTCAAGCAACACGACAAGGCTGGCGGGCATGCTATCGGACAATGGGCATCTGCAATGTGATTCTTTTCGTTCTGTTCATATTTCTCTACGAGGAGACCAAGTACTCCAAGGTCATTGAAGGCGTAAGCGCGTCCGCGGAACCTGCTGGGGATGCTCAGCAGGTTTCCGTGGACAACCTCAAGGCGGATTGCAAGCCCGATCTGGAATGTCCTGCGAGTAGGGTGCAGACGAATACGGCAGGCCACCATGAACTCGATCACACCATCCCCATGAAGACCTGGAGACAGAGGCTCAGTCTCTGGACCTACACCCCGGAGCCGATCTGGCCATACTTTTATCGTCCGTTCATCGTGCTAACCACGTTCCCTGCCGTCCTGTTCTGCGCCGTGCAGTATGCCTGCGGGATAGCGTTGCTAACCATCATGTCGAGTGTGATCTCTTTGGTGTTTCCCATGCCTCCTTACTTGTTCACTGCTCAGCAGATTGGATTCATGAGTGTCGGCCCGTTCATTGGCAACTTGATTGGGTCGTTCTACGGGGGATTTTTTGGGGATCGGTCGATCTTGTTCTTTGCAAGGCGTAACAAGGGCTACTACGAGCCGGAAATGCGTCTATACATTCTCCATCTTCCTGCCTTGGCCATGTGCGGGGGCCCAATCATGTTTGGGGCCACAGTTGCCAGGGTAAGCGTTCCGACGGTTGTGTCTTCTGCCTGACCGACAACTGATTCTCCTCAGGGCATGCACTGGATCTGGCCGAGCATCGGCGGCGCACTATTTGGTTTTGGACTGGGCAGTATTGGCGATGCAGCTTTGACGCTGGTGATTGACAGCTATGTTGAGGTACAATGCCCAACCCTTTTTCCCTGCTGCTGCCTGGGCTATTCTGACTAGCGGGTCGGTGCTAGATCACTGGAGATGCCTTCACAGGCGTTACGTTTCTACGCAACGCCATCGGCATCGGAATTCCCTTTGCTATCTCGCCTTGGATGCAGCAGAGCGGATTGACCAACATGTTCATCGCCTGCGGGATCATCAGTCTGGCGATCACCATGACCATCTTCCCGATGGTGATGTATGGGAAAAAGGTTCGGGTGAGGACCGCAGGTCGATATCGATTGATGGCGGCTCAACAGGGGCAATGAATTTTAGTTACATTTTGTCGTCCTTCCAAATCCTGATTCGGAGGACCCATCGGACAGAAAGGCTGGGGAGACGGGACCCAACTCCGCCGAGCTGGAAGTCGGCACCTGGCGTGATCGGGAAACTGTCAAGTCTCAGACTTTTATATGCAGGAGCTTAATCGGAGACACTGTCGGTTGGTCTATACTTCGGCTAAGAGCGGATAGAACTGGAGTGGCTCCATAGAGCCAATTCTAGAATTTCGCTCGGTTATCCTCGTCTTTGAGATCATAGAAGATAAGAGGTAAAACAGTTCAATTGCGAAAAAAGCAGTCCGGAATTGACCCAATTTATCAAATATTTTCATGTTGTTATCAGGCGGGAGACAAGAATCAATGTCATGGTGTCATTTGAACTTTTTTTTAGCCGGGCTCGTATACCAAGCTAAGTGCGGTACGGTTAGGCGCATCAAAGGGCGTGCACTGCAGCCACACCCAGCCGAGGAGTCATGATGTCGATTGAAAGGCGCAAATCAAGCAGGAAAAACCCCCGTATTGTACTCGATACCAGTATCAAGGTCCTCATTACAATCCTATTGAAAATCTTAGGAAAATCATCCGCATGAAAAACAAATAGTGAAGCAATGGAAGACAATCATTGTTGCGTGATCATCGTACTATGCTCGAACAGACCAGGTTGATCCCCATTCTATTGATTCTCTTTTACTTCTTCTGGTGTCGTCATCCTCTTTCTGATGCATTTGTAATCTTCTCTCTCGAACTATTCCTGAAGTGTTCTCAGTGTATTAAAGTATGATGGAATAATACGAGCACGAGGGATGTCATTGCAAGGGCGCAGACTGAGCATTAGTCATTCCCCCCAAGCTGACCAATCAGGGCTCCGTCCCATCGCAGGTGGATAATGCTTCTTTTTGCTCCCAACTTCTTGTTGTTGTTCCTTCATCACCATGATCACGTATAGTTTGGTACTGTCTCATCGGCATTCCATCAATCGGGAAGTTGGCCTGAGATCGCACGTGCTCCGTGGCTTTCTCTGGCTGATGTTCTCATGATCCATCCTGACGATTGAGTCGGTCAGTCCAGATGTCGCAATCCGTGGCTGATCGTTTCCCCGTATTACTGCCCTTTCCATACTTGCTTCACCTCCAAGCCAGTATGGAATTCAAACTTTCTTGATGCAAGTGACTCATGAACTCTCGACGATGCTTAGCAATCCATACTGTTCTCAATTTGAAGATACAGACGGGGGGTTTCTCCTCGCATTTATAAACATGCACTGTTTCCCTTGCTCCCCGTTGTAACTCTATCTCTGTCTATTTTTTATACTACTCTTGTATAGAACTATCACAGACCCCTCGGGGCTCCACTGTTGCTCTTTTCCATTACTCAACCGCAATACTTCCGTCACCCCATCCCTGGATTCTCCAGTCATAGCTTCCGCGGAAATTTCCGTCGATTTCCTTTTTTTATTATTTTGATCGAAGTAAATATAACTTGCGTGATCCCTTGACTGCTGCGTCTGCACTTTCCCTTCATATACAACCGGATCGAACTGCGCTGAGGCGCTGTGTCTCTATACTTCGTCCGCTCGATTGCTCAGCTCCTCTCAATGGCGGCTTCGATTATCACTCGGGGATCCAGTTCCCTGGACTCTCTGACTGGACGCTCTCGTCCCAAGATCCAGATCGACCTTGCCAATCAGCCGGGGGGACTTGTCAGCTCGTATACCACCAAGGACCACATCGAAGGAACCGTGACCATCAAAGTGGACCATGACACGCGCTTTGAGGACGTCGAAATCACTTTTGAAGGTGCGACCTCCCCGTCAGGGTGCCAGGGTTACATGCATGCTAACAGACGAGAATAGGAACAGCAAGAACGTCGGTCGAGCGGGCAGCCTACCCTGGCCGCACAGGGGCTTATCAGACATTCCTCAAGCTGCGCCAGCCCATTGATGACGCCGCATACCCAACTCCCCGCATTCTTGAGAGTGGACGCTCCTACCAGTTCCCCTTTACCTTTGTCATCCCCGATCGTCTGCTCCCCCATGTCTGCAGCCACTCCAAGACCAACGTCCATGTGGAGCGGTCCCACACATTGCTGCCTCCAACCTTGGGGGACCCCATGCTCGCCAGCAACGGAAAGACATTGCTGGACGACATGGTGCCCGAGATGTGCCAGGTCTCGTACATGATCCGGGTTGTCGTGAACCGCAAGCCCGCCGGTGAGAGCGGCGCGCGCAAGCCCCTCGCCTCGGCGGGAAAGAAAGTGCGCATCATCCCTACCGTCGACGAGGAACCGCCGCTCAACATCTCCGAGGGCGAGGACCCCTATTGCACCCGCAAGGAGAAGGACGTCAAGCGCGGACTCATGCGCGGCAAGCTGGGCCGCTTGGTCGTGGCTGCCTCGCAGCCCAAGCCGGTCCAGCTGACTGCGCCCCAGTGCGAGACAAAGGACTCCGTCGGGACAGTGGCAACCATCCACCTGCGCTTCGATCCCGTCGGCAACGAAGCCCCGCCCCGGCTCGGCAGCGTCTGGAGCAGACTGCGCGTATCGACATTCTACGGCGCTGTCCCTTGGGAAGACTACCCGTCCGCCCTGTCGGCGACCTTGTGGGCGCAAGCCGGGAAGAGTGTCTACACTGAGACCGTGCCCCTGTCTACCCTCTGCGTCGCCTCCGCCCAGTGGACTAAGCACTCGGTCTCGAGCCCCGTCCGCCGCGGCTCATTGGAGTCTACCTCCTCGTCTGAGTCGCTGACGGGACCCTCTGCCTCTTTCTCGGGGAGCACCTACTATACCGCCTCGGTAGTGGTGCCCGTCTCCCTTCCCGCGTCCAAGGCCTTTGTTCCGACCTTCCACTCCTGCCTCATTTCCCGAATGTACGCCCTCGACCTGAGCATCTCGTACCACACTCCGAACGCCAACATCCTGACTCCCAGTGCGTCCCTTCGCGTTCCACTTCAGCTCACCTGCCAGCCCCAGGCAGATGCGCGCCCTAAGTACGGGGTCGGGGTCCACGAAATCACACTGGAAGAGGTGGACGCCGAGTTCTTCAGCCCTCGCAGCGTTGCGCCCCCGTCCATCAGCTCCTGCGAGTCATTTCCCCTAGCACAGTCGAACCCCATCGCGCCTCCACCGGAGTATTCCGCCATCCGGGCGCCGTTGCTGGCGAGCGGGCAACCGCGGCGAGTTGCTGCTGGTTTTTAATGGAAGAGTGATATGATGAAATTTACTAATCGCATGGCGTTTTGATTGCTTTTATGATATACCCTTTGACATCTTGATACCATAGATTGATGTTTGCTTCAAAAGTTTGGGCGATCCCATGGCATTGTTATTAGATTGGTTTATGTTGGACAGTTGGCTTCGATAATTCTATAATAATATAATCAATCTATATTAATCGTCTTACAAGCCTGTTGTCCTTGGAGTAAGTAGGCAGCCTGTTCGCTTCCAAACGCTGGCAGGTTGAGCATATACGCGGAGTCAATACAATAACCATTTATGTATCACCTATGATCATTCCACGTGGTTGGTAGTGTCCAGGAACAAAAAGCATAGCTGTTTCTTCGAAGCAAGAAAAAGAAAAGAAAAAATATATGACAAGGGTGGGATTCGAACCCACGCCCCTTTCGAGACACGGAAACTGATGAATCAGTTTATAGGTCCAGTTCCTGAACCGTGCTCCTTAGACCACTCGGACACCTTGCCGTTAGAGGATAATGTCTCACTATTATGCTATATAAAGCAGTACAATGCATCCTCGGACTCGATGATTCTCGGACTCACTCTGGATGCTCAGAGTATTTCTACTTAGGAAGAACGTCGCAGGAGTAAGGACAAATAGTAGTCTCTATTCTACAAAAACCAGTTTTGACTTCCACACGACTTCTTACCTGACGAATGCTGGCTTGTAAGAATCTCTATGCGTGTAATCTTGCTCTCTGCGCGCGCGATACGGTCAAGTATACCTCAACTTCTGGAACGAGCCAAGTGCCATCGTTCGTCGCATTCCCTGGGTGCTCAGCTCTTTCTCTTCATTCTTTCATGTATGGGTTTCACGTCCCAACGACTAAGAAACTTGTCATGAGCACTGAGATACTCATTCTCATCTATATATATATGCTACCGTGAGTGCCGTCCACCGTTGTGGTTAGTGCTTACGGTGAGAAAAAGTGAGACCCTGAGAGCCATGGCTGATGCCAATTAGACGAACAATGGCATGTAGGTGACCAGGAGGCTGAATTAATTGGCACCATTGATGTGATCTTATCCTATCATCTACAACTACAGAGAGTGGGGGATGCTGTGCTAAGGCCGTCCCAGGATCTTGGGCCCATCCAGCAGACCACAGCTGTATATATGCATGTCAGATACAACCTGGATTGAGGCAACATGCTTTGTCTGCTCCAAGCAGATCCTTACAGCCCATATAAATTAGCTGCTCTTTCCGTGACTCCGTGCCAACCCATCCGCTCACCACATCATGGCAGACACACCCCAGTTAACCGCCCTGGAGTCCTTCCTCCAGGCGCATCCCACTATCAAATACATCCCACCCTCCTCTCCCGAATACCCATCCGCTCGTAAGGTCTGGAACGGCTCCCGCCGTGACAACCCGCTGGCCATCGTCCAGCCGCAGTCCCCTTCCGACGTGGTCTCCCTGATCAGATTCTCCAAGTCCCAGTCCCTCCCCTTCACACTCCGCTCGGGCGGCCACAACCTGGAAGGCCGCTCCCTTGTTGACGGCGCTCTGCTCATTGACCTGCGCGATCTGAACGCCGTCACTATCGCTCCGGATCGCAAGTCCGCCATCGTCCAAGGCGGCATCTTACAGGGAGAGCTCGCCAACAGGCTCTGGACAGAGGGGCTAGCCACCCCGACAGGGTCAATCCCATCCGTAGGCTATGTCGGCTGGGCCACATACGGCGGGTACGGGTCCTTCTCCTCGCACTGGGGTCTGGGTGCAGACCAGATCCTCGGCGCGACCGTCATCAACCCGGACGGCGAGATCATCGCCGCCGACGAGGCCCTTCTCCAGGGCATCCGCGGCGCAGGGGGTCTATTCGGTGTGATCATCGACCTCACCATCAAGGTCTACCCGCTCACGACCGTAAGCACTCTTCCCTGGAACCCCATGCCACAGCTAACACCCCCACCCAGCTCCTCTCCGGCGCCATCCTCTACGACTCAACCGACATCACCAAAACCTTCATCGACTTCAACGCTGCCTACCGCGCCCTCCTCGACTCAGACCCCCTCCCCCCGCAACTCACCATCCAGCAAATCGTCATCAACAGCCCGTCCGCAGGCCGCCTCCTCGCCGCCATCTTCGTCTGGAGCAGCCCGGACACAACCACCGGCCACGCCTGGGCCGCCAAAATCGCCGACCTCGCCCCAACGCTCGCCAACACCGTCGCCGAAACCACCATTCTGTCCTTACTCGCCTCCACCGACGCCCTAGTCCCAAGCACCACCTACGGCGCCCCCAGAACGCACAGCATCCGCCGCATCACCCCCGCCGTGGCGGAGACTATCGGGCAGTATCTCGCGACGATGCCGTCCGACCCCGGCACGATGTTCTCCATACATCAGCTGCGGGGCCCGTCAGCCACGCAGCAGAAGCACCTTAATGTCTTCGCAGCAAGAGAGCCGCACTACATGCTTGAGATCCTGGGGTACGCGGCGGAGGAGACGCTCAGCGCGGAAGCCATGGAATGGGCTGTGCAGATGGCGCGGGGGATTGAGCGCGTGGATCCGGGGAATGTGCTGCCGACGGCGTATATATCATTGTATAACACTGCTGCTGCTGCATCATCTGACGAGGTGCTGCGGAGGGTGTATGGAGATAAGGCTGGGGTGGTGAGAGATCTGAAGAGGGGGTTCGATCCGGGAAATGTCTTTAGGCTGACGGTGCCGTCGTTGTAGGTCGTAATATATATATATATATAACTATATTGCGGCATGGAAGGCAGGTCAACGGACCCTTCTACTAATCTAGTTATGTATCATGAAATACTGATTCTAGTAAAAGTAAAAGGGACAACACTGAATCTATCCATGTTGAATCGTCCAAGACCACAGGACTTAGGGCAAGAGACTGGACCCCGGCTGTCGTCTGATGAGATTTAGACTTAGGACTAAAGATATAGAAAATTGTCTAAGCATGGCAAGGTGTCCGAGCGGTCTAAGGAGCACGGTTCAGGAACTGGACCTATAAACTGATTCATCAGTTTCCGTGTCTCGAAAGGGGCGTGGGTTCGAATCCCACCCTTGTCATTGATCTTTTTTTTTTTTTTTGCCTTCATTTTTCAATACGTGAAGATTACGACAGCTTGCAGCATGCGAGGTCTATGTATAATCAATAAAGAATCTATAGACAAAAACCAAGCCGAAATGGTATAGACCAACTTTTCGCATATATACAGCCAATGACCATTTTGAACGCCAGATATGCTTCCCTCCAATGAACTCGACTACGTCAACATATCATCCAACTTCTCACCCAGAACGTTCTCAATCTGCTTAACCCATTTGCGGACTTCGCGCTCGACGTTCTCGTCCTCATCTTCCATCAGCTCGCTGATATACGGCAGCATCTCAGGCAGAAGGGCAAGCCACTCCTCGCCGAGCTGCTCGGTGAGCGATTGCTCGGCCTTGAGCGCTGCGAGGCGCGTGTGCGGGTTCTCGCCTCCAGCGGCTTTGCCGTTCGGGCCTGCGGACGGACGGAGGAACTTCATCAGGGCGGTGTTGAGTTCCTTGTGGTTGTCTGTTGAGTCGGCTGCGACGGCGAGCTCGGTGATGGCGGGGACGGCCTCGGCGATCACGGTAGCTGCCGTGGAGGAATTCGTGGCGTGTGCGAGTTGGTTGATGAGGGGCGTGGAGATTTTGTTCAGGTGCGAGGGAGATTGCCAGAATTCTGCGAGGGTTAGCTTCGGCTTGAACCCATCAAGAGAAGAGAAGAGAAGGGGAAAGGCATACCGTCTTGATCGTGCTCAAAGGCATTGCGGAGCAAACGCATTGTGGCCAACCACAGAGCCTTGGTGCTCTTGTCGGCCGGACTGGCCTTGCCAAGGACGGAAACCACGCTTTCGATGATATAGCTGGCATAACCGGTGACGATAGACTATCTTTGTCAGCGATGGTGAAACATTTTGATGAGAAGTGATAACATACCTGAAGAGTTCCAAAGAAGACTTGCAAGAACTTGTAGAACGTCGTAAGTCGGGCCCAGCTGCCCTGGGTATCTTTCTTCGGTAGACCAGACGTGGCCCAATCCAGCATCTTCGTGAAGATAGGACGGAAGGTGGTGTCGTTCAGCTTGTAGATCATCTTGATCGTTACGTCGTTGAGGGCATATTCAATTTCATCCACGTCAACAGCATCGAAGGTGGCGTTCGCTCCCAGTGCAAGCTGCTCCCGGCGTAAATCGAATGCCTTGAACAGGATGCTCGACAAGACCCCAATATTCTTGCCAGTCGCGGATTTGGGATGCTTCTCCACGGCGAGGCTGACCACCTCCAGCGTCTCCTTCGCGGCGACCGGCCCGGCCTGCACGGCGTACTGCCAGTTGCGATCAACCGCTCCCAGCGCTGCAGCCATGTCAACCTTTCGAGCCATCATCTTCAACGCTTCTTGTCGGCTCTCGTCTTCGCAGTCTTCAGCGTTGGCTGACTTGAAAGAGAGCAGAAGAATCTTATCCAGATGAGTGCCGGAGATCATATACGGGATATGAACAAAGAGCGCCGAGAACAACGAGAAGACGGCATCGTGTAACCGGGAGTTCTCCTTGCCCTCTTCCAAGCTCAGTTCAAGCAGAGCCAGGGATCGGCTGAGGGCCTCCGGAAGTGCTGGAATCATGGCTTGGCCAAGAGTCTCAGCCATGGATGCAAGACACAAGACACCCATGATACGAATACGGTCATCCATCTGGCCAATGCAGGCCTCGCTAGCCACAACCTGGGCAGCACCAATAACCCGTGATGGGTCCTTCTTGCCGTACTTCTCGGCGATGCGGTCGATACAGGCAACTGCGGCGTGCTTGAGCAGGATATCTGTCGAGTTGCGGATAATGTCAACAAGTGTAGGCAAGAAGTCAAGCACCCGGATCTGAGAAGCGCCGTCGCGCTCTGGGTTCTGGCGAAGGCGTCCCTCGAGGAGCCGGAGGACCTTTCGACGGAGCTCATCGTTGGGCCGCTGCAGCAGCA